TATTGAATACTGCAGCACCCCCCGGTAACATTAACGCTCAGCTAATTCGGCCCGTTCTTTTGCAGCACACAGAACCCCTCCGCTGCTTCGTACCATTGGGCGTTTATGGCAGAACACAAACATCGAACTGCCCTGCTTCTTATTAGCATATATCTGGATTTGCCACACCTCACGCTCAACGGCTCCCATAGCGCTCTTTTGAGGTTAACTTTCCGGGCCCCAGTTTCCTACAACTTGGCCAGCATGTGCCTCAATAAAAGGCAAGACTCTCCCACGCCTGTTAATGGCCGAACTCAAAATTTATGCTTGCACTCGGACGGCCCGAAGTTGCTCTCGTTTAACTGTATACTGTCCCGTTGCTTGGTTCCTTTCTGTACAGTTCCACGAGCGGATCATTTGGCATACGGATTTTCACCCGGTAAAGGCTACCTATATTTAAATAGATCTCTCATATATATTTATTGTTATCCTTAGGACACAGAGCGAACGTCTCTGCTTTCTGTAGTCAAAAGAGTCAACCTGTGAAAATTAGGTAAAATTAATATGGGGCGAGTAAAATGATATAATGGACACTTTCCAATTGGACACGCATAGAAATATATCGCTGACAAGGGGGTAATTTTCAGGACATGAAGAGTTTTTTTGTGAATGTTGATCGTAGAATGTTGTAGAAAGGGTTCATGGGTGAATATAGAACTCGTTGATCACATTTCTTTTCCCTAAATCGCCCTCAGAATCTGCTTGAAAAAGGCGGGGAAAGGAATGAAACTTTCTATCGACGGTGACCAAAACTTTAGTGCAACTTAACGCCCCTATGTTGCGCCTAAATTAACGACCAAAACAACGAACAAATTGACATCATATTTCTCAGTTGGCCGCCATGGCAGCAAACAGGTTGCGCCAAACTATATTGCAGAAATTAGTCATCACCAAGGATCGAACTGCAGACCATTTCTTCACCCCTATTTGGAAATTCCTGGAGGCGTCCCAAAAATGGATCATGGTTCTGTATTCCTAGAACGACCCTACTTACACGCAGAAACTCATTTTCCGAAAAACGCTAGTCTCAAAAGCCCTACCGTTCCTGAGAGAAAATACTAGCAGAGAACTCATACAAGTGCATTTCAATTCGTTTTACACGGTATTTTTTCACGTTGCACCAGGCATTTGGGTTACGGGAATAGCAACAGTGGAAGAATTCCAGTCTTATTGTCTTAGACTGAAGAACGCTCCTGGGCTTCTGTGCTAGCTTCAGTAAAGATTTCAAATGTTTCTCTCTCGACGTCAAACCAACGGCCCTTTTTTCCGAATCATATCATGGGACAGGTTCCGCACTTATCGGGCCTTAGCAAGTACTTGTTGATGTGAGCGTAATGCTAGCCATGAACGTGTGTAATGTCACAGTGGAATCGGTACTGATTGAATCTTGCCGTTTATTTTGAGTAGGCTCTAAGCCTCCACTTCGCCAGATCGACGTTCAGTGTTTCCCCAAGGATCTCATGTCCGAGAAATTCCTTTCTTGTAAAGCTGAGAGTACCACTATGTCATCTGGGTAGCAGAGTACCTCATCATTTCGTAATAATTAGAGTATTGTAGAACTGTATTTGCGTACTGTCATCAATGAGTTCGAAGTTTGAGTGCATCGCAAAGCCTGAGCGGCCCGAGCTGACACTACGGCAACTGTAGGTGCAGGCGATCAGCTGGCTCACTCTTGTCCATCTCCTTTGGTAGCCTATGGCCCTGAGATTTCTTCGCCCTTAGCTGTTTGCTGATCCAGCGCTACCTGACTGGGCAGGGGCAGCCTGCAGGGGACTAAGGGCGGGAGTAAGAAGTGGTCGTGGTATCTTTCGTCCCACGGGATAGCCTTACCAGGGCGTTCCCGTTGCTCAAGGAGAGCGCCGTCCCACCAAGGGCTTGGGCACTTTGGGTTCTTTAGTCACGGGAATCGGTATGGGGTTTCGGCGCAGCCCTATCCTGAAGGATATTCCGATCCCGCCTCAAGCTCGTACACCACTACAAGGTAGAACCCATGTACAAGCGTACTGTCATGCTGCGGGGAATGATGCCAGTCGAAAGGGCAACTCTCGAAATGATTGGAGTCAGGGAAGGAATTGGAGACCTACGAGCCAGTGAAGATACGCGAGGTGTAGCCCACTAACAAGGGAAGGATTCCAGATCAAAGTGGCCACTTGTTACGAAACATACATACTGTGATTTAGGTCGCTGATTTCGAATCTGCCCTCTAGCTCTGCGGAAAGACTCTCTGAAGGCAATTATGCAGCGAGATAGCACAATGGCAGCGGCTTTGGCCGACGTGCCTTGGTCGTGAGGTCAGCGTTGTTGATGAGTTCTCACTTTTGCTCTTCCTGAAGACAATGTTAAAGACTCGTGAATCATCATCCTTTGCCTGTCTTACAAGCGCAAAGACGAGGGGTTTCGAACAGCGCGCTATTCAAAGCTGTTTGCCCCTGCACTTGTAGCACACGCGACAGGCACCTTCGTACCGAACAGAGTTGATAGTCGTATTCAGAGCGTCAAACCGCTCCTTACTCCTTTCAACCACTTTTGTTCTAAATCCAAGAATTTGACCTAACGATGAAAATAAGGACGGTCATCTCTATGCATCAACACATTGTCTGAGCTTGATAATGATAAATTGAACTTTCAGTCATAATTGTGAAAACAAATATATGTCTCCGGCTTGCTTGCATTATCAGAAAATTTATGTGGTTTTTTTCTTCTATGCACGCTTGCTGCCGTTTATGGTAGGACAGCACAGGGGTGGTGGCTAGGGGTAACACCAACGACCGTTTGCTGGCTATCTTTTCAAATTGGGTCCAAACTTCAGTTTTCTAAAAGCTAAGCCTTCTAGAGATAGTTTGATCCGCTGAGCAAGCATATCACATTTAAAAGAACATCATCAAAGATGACGTCACCTTCCAAAACGTAGAAACACCTCGACACCTGTAAAATAACTGGTCGGTAACATAAGGACGGAATTAGCTGATGCTTTAAGCAAGCCCTTTGAACACATGATATCGCTGTAAGGTGTGTGAATTTGTGAAACAGTGTAAATTTGAACGTTTAAAAGCTTTATATTAAATACAAGCACACATCTCCGAGTTTGGGTTTCATTACGAATGGCCTCTTTGACGTGGGTTCCTTCCATTGTAAGCGTTCTCTTGTGAGTGATATAGTGATATGCTCAGGCGTACGGCTGATGTGAGCAAAATATAGCACCAATAGAAACAGATGGTTTTTTGTTACTTATTTGCTGGACACACCAGGTGGTCAGAACGTCCCATAAGAAGTTTGGAGACTCTTGGTGGACCTCCCTCATAACTCGCGAACGAGCTTGGATGGAATAAACTTCCCGTATTTCCCAAGCATGGTGTAGGGGTGAGCCCATCCATTTGCCCGTATTGTTGTTCAACAATACTAGGGGAGCTTGTGAGTCAGAGCCTTGGTGAACGAAACATTTGCAGTTCCACTAACTTCACCATCAGATGCCTCTCAAATTGGGGTGCTTTATTCAAAAATCTTGGGTTCTACACGTTCGACTCAGTGGTGATTACGCATTATGGTTTATGGTTTACGTCAAGAACCCAGATCTTGCCACTCCCAACCAAGCGATCAGGTCAAACGGGAGACAGGCGTAAAATCAGGATACTCATGAAAACTTACCTTCTGTAGCTAGTGGTCACTCAGATCGCAGAAAATCTTTCGTCATGATTTTTCTTTCAGGCGATAGTGGGGAAAGGCTATTGTGCTTTTAAAACCCTTACTTAAAGCTTTACCAATTCCCATGCATTGCGTTGGGGACTCTCTCAAAACAGCTTCACACTGGTCATTCACTTTATCAGGCCGGCTAAATTTGAGGTTTTCTTCCACATTTCTGAACATTGGCAACCAAATAATTGTCACGATAAGCAGGGGAGTGGGAAGCTCTACCCCATCACAAAACTTCCTTACGAACTGCTACCAAGTCGCTTGCATTGATGGAAGAATTCAATTTGATATGCTCAAGAGACAGACATTCAGTTACTGTATAAATCTTCGTGGACGTTGTCGTTGCTTCTACCTTGGTGAACACAGAATTACTTGCTAATTCCCACATCTTAGGGTGATCACAATGTAAACATGCCGTTTCAAAAACTTGAACAAATGAAAGGATCACTAGTGCTCCGACAGTATCGCTTTTTTTCAGAAAACGCAAATATCTAGAATGAACTGATTAGCACCTTTGAGCCAAGCAGTGTAGAAGGGCAAACGATAGATGGAGTAACCAAAGCATTCCGATTGATGCCAACCATAATGCTCGATTTGTTTAAAGTAGGAGGGATCAGAATTCAGCAAAGCGTGAAATTATCCTGGAAGCCAGGAAGTTGGTATTCAGTACGCGGAAGGCTTAAAGCTAGGCTTATTGAGTTAGCATCCGATGTGAATCTCGGTGAGCTCAAACAAACCTATCCACGCAAGGGTTCACTTGAAATATTGAGTTGATCTGAAGAACTGGAAATCGGCAATTTTCGTAGGCTCGCGGAGATGCGGAGTCCCCACAGGGATGTCGCATCCTCGCCATTGGTCGAAGCTCCCTTGCCCGCCTTGTGATCCCATCGATTCCCTGCATCGATTTCCTTGAAGACGGCCAATTCATCGAACAACGGAACAACATGCTTCTGAAACAGCTACAGCACCAGTAACGAACAAGTTAAATCAAAAAATAACTAATTAATCAAAATAGCAGCTGATCTGACATGACCGCCGGGAAGGGAGAAATCGCCTCGACTCTATGTTTTCAGCAATGTGCTTCCGAAAGTCGTGCTTCCATGAGCATTCACTCTCTACGGTGGATCATCAATCTTTCTAAGCTTCTGAGCTTCTCCTCGAGGGGCTTCTTCCCGCCTTTGACGCCAAACGTTATGTGCAACTGGTGGAATTTCGCGGACCGGCAATCACGAAAAATTGGGAGTCAGCGTTTCTTTCACGGCTTACGCGCTTCACCGCATCATCTCCTTCTTCCCTCCGCCTTTGAGCTCGATCGGGACAGGTGGATAAAACTCTTGAGTTTGACGATGTTGCGGCATGATTTTGATCTTTTCAAACAGCTCGATTGACCACGACATAGGAGGCCCGACTTTTCTGGTTACGGGAAGTCTGTCACAGAGGAGGCCTGGGTTGCGATATAGAGGTGCGGCTACTCTAAAGACATCGCTTGCACTGATTCGGAATAATGTTTCAAATCCGCGTCAGCTTATTAAAGGATGTAGCGATGTCTGCGCACACATCACCCTTGCTGGTCATGGCTCAGCAACTGTTGTCCTCAATAAGAAGCGGAAAAACAGCTGTCTGCCACTCGATTGAAGGTGTCGTCTAGAGCAATTAAACATTTGCCTCATTTGAACCCTTCCGAAGACATTTCTGCATCCGCATAGTATAATGATCCGTGCTGACAGCTTTGGTCTCCAGCAGTTTCTGTGAGAATAAGTCTCAGCTTTCGTAGACGTGGACAGTCAGGTATTCTAATTCTCTTCTGTGCACTCCTAAGTGCACTAGGCTGAAGGGGCTTGGCAAAGCAAAAAGCTAATCTTGCCGGCTGCGCTGAAACATGTCTTGCCACTCTTACTATTCCGCATTGCATTAGAGTGTGTGATGGTAGCCACATCGTACTTGACCGTCAAGAAGAAGAGCGCTGGGTGTTCAAAGCGCCTTCCCTGTGTTCCATACAGCGCTTCAGAGTAAACGTGACAGCGGCGACGATGTGCCTGCATTGCAAGCGCAAGTCCATAAGGGGTCAGATACTGCGAATTTTTCATCCGGAGTTCTTCTTCTTTTCTTTCGTCTCCCCAACATTCTTGCTCCGATATGGAAGCCACATTCGCCAACTGGAACATGTCTGCTACATTCTTTGAGCGGATGTTTCAAAGTTAGTAAAGCGACATGAGGCATTTGATCAAATAATCCACACTCGCACTTCCTGCGTAGATTCAGCGGAAGATCGAGGGTGATGAGCCTGAAACAGACCACGTTTTCCGACCTTTCATCACTGATATGACTAGAGCAACTTTCTTTTCTTTTTCTAGGCCTTCCTCTTTTTTAGGGCGGAAGTGGTGTAGTGGCAAGTGGCACGCTTACCACGCGAGCGGTCCGGGGATCAAATCCTGGGTCGTGAGTCGCCCGGGCCAACCAAGCCTTCCATCCCTCCGGGGTCGGTTAATTGGTACCAGACTTGTCTGGGAGGATAAAAACACTGACTTGTACATCGGCTGGCCCCCGCAAGTCATTGTATAGGCCACATCGCATTCAAACGCCACTACGAATGTACAAATGGAAGTAGAATGCGTGCCGCATCCCAAAAAGGGATTGATCAACGGCAAATGCTTTATCCTTTTATTTTTTTTCCTCTTTTTACGAGTTGTGTGGGTCTTGAGTGGCTCGTTTGAGATTCCTAAGGGTGTCGCGGTTCGCGACGACGGTCGTGGGCGCACCGCGCGCCCGGCCCTGTCGCGCCGTTGGTCGCGCTGGCGGCGCATGCACCGGCGAGCGGCGCATGCTCCGCCTCCGGCCACGCCTCCAGCCGAGGCCTATATGAGGTGGGGTCGCCTCTGGGTTGTTGCCGCAGCCACCTCTTGCGTGTAACTCTCGGGATTCACCGTTACTTGCTGAGTTCATTGCTTGGGACCTTTTTCCTCGTCTTCATATGGAAATCGCTCTGCGCTCGTGAACCCTAAAGAAATCAGAAACTAGCTGTTGATAGAAATCTTGCGTTCAATCAGTCCTTCATCTAATCGAAGCGTACTAC